TTCTCTAATCTAATCTGTTTAGCTAATATTATAGCTTGAATTATCAAATAGAATAAGAGTTTTGGTCAAGTTATCAGTTTATACTTAAATGTGTTATTTAAGCTTTTTTGGTAAGTTTTCCTCTAAGAATATTTTCGGTAATTCCTACAATAAAAATAGAAAAACTAGTTTGAAAAGTGCAATGCATGGATAAATGTTAAATCCCGGAAACAACGACGGAATTTCTAATTCGGACTTAACAGAAATATACAGTGTGCTTCAACAGACATGATGTGGGTCTGTTCACTTTGTAGATGTAGTTTTATGCAAACTTCTATTTTTATTTTTTACATTATCATGTCTGATCCCTATTGTGCTTTTAAAAACTTTGTATGAACAAGAATGATCAAGAATGAACAAGAATGATCAAAAATGAGAAAGAATGATCAAGAATGATTAAGAATGATCAAGAATGAACAAGAATGAACAAGAATGATCAAGAAAGATCAAGAATGATCAAGAATGATCAAAAATGATCAAGAATGATCAAGAATGAACAAGATTGATCAAGAATAATCAAGAATGATCAAGATTGATCAAGATTGATCAAGAATGATCAAGAATGATCAAGAATGATCAAGAATGAACAAGATTGATCAAGAATGATTAATAGTGATCAAGATTGATCAAGAATGATCAAGAATTGTAACCTTTAAAATTTTAATGGGGTAAGATTATATATTCTAACAAAAAATATGGAAAAGTTAGATTTTTTATTTGAATTTCATTTGATTATAAACAAATTCTTGACAGCAAAACTTGTTATTTACGTATTACATATCAAGGGCTTAAAAAATCTAAAAAATGTTAAAAAAGTAAAAAAGTATTAAGTATGCATAAGCCTAGAACTTTCAGAGTATATTTATTTTGTGTGGACCAAAGCTAGACAAAACCAATACATCATATTTATTAATCCTGCCACAAGAAAATAGAAAAGTGTTACAGTATTATATTGGATTGAGAAGTTTACAGGGAGACCTCTCAGTATAAATCAAACATCTTTACCAGAAATAAATAATTTAATTTTTAAATTAAAGGGACAGTAAAGGAAAAATGAAAGGGGGTATAGGCTGAAAGCTAATCACTTTAGCTCTTGATCGCAACCGACGGGTTTCCCGACACACTTATAGCACGACTAGCACCCTCGTACGTGAACAGTGCAGAGAGTCTGCCTATACGCGCATTTTCACAAGATTTTTGCCCACGTGACTGGCAACAAATTGCGTACTTTGAAAATCCGAAGACATTTGCTAGCCCGGACTGGAGGGTCTTCTTGCCTACACACTTGAACCCGAGACTTTCAGGCTGAAACGTTCAGGGTACCGGGTACCCTCCCCATTCTCATGGCTAGCTTGTAATTACATTTTGGTGAGCCGCCTAGCTGTGCAGCCGCCGCTAAAGCTGAAAATCCGAACATTTTGGCAACCCGAGACTGGCGCACTTGCCCAGCCCAGAGTTTTCAAGTGATCAGGCTAAAAATTTGGGGGTACCCTCTCCATTGTCTGTAAATCCAAATGCGCGTATCATATAACTACGCAAAACTTCTAATGCAATTAACCTAGCCTAGCTAGACGTCTGTAAATACGTCAAAACCTGTACTGTGATTAACTTATAACTAAGTCAGTGATTAGATTAACAACGCTTATTTATATCTGCTCTAATCCTGTAAATACGTATATTTAACTTAATCTGTAACATAGATATCTAAATACACATTAGATGGAATTTACTCCGCTTTGATTAGGGTGAGAGCAGTAATTCGGTCCTCGTTGAAACATACGAGCAGATAAGATCGTGCACATTGGTTTGGCATTGATAGTTATACGTTCTTATGTCCTTGTTGACATCGGAGCCTATGAGATCGTGCCCATTGGGTTGGCATTGATAGTTAAAGGATTTGTACCTGAACTGATACGATTCTGATAGCAGTTTTAAGAGTACGGCATTTATAACTTTCTGTTTAATTATTTGATTTTACCCAAAAGATATTTTTTACTTTCTTACCAAAACAAGAAGAATTTAAAAATGTTGATTTCAAAATTTTGCATGTCCGATTCACAACAACGGTAACCTTTAACCATTTCCTGAGTAACAATGATGAAGATATCATTGTTTTACTATCTTTATTATGCAAAGGATTAATGGCCCAATGGGGTTCGTTGTGAATCGGACCTGTAATCCCTAAAAATGCCGTCCCTTGAAATTATATCTACAATTCCTATAAAGTTAGAGTTAATTCTTGTAAAATTCCCTGCTGCGAGTTTTACAATGTTTCACTGTTGCAATATACCTGGTAAGAATTTCAAGAATGTGAAGGGTTATTTTGTAACTTTACTTCTTGACAAATACCATCGTATCGATCGTGTGCAGAAAGGGTGGGAATGTACTTCGAAGAAAAATATGCACAACATAAGATTTTGCCACAAACTCCTATTAAAACAAAGAAACTTGCATTTTGTACCTTAAAATTATCATATACAAGGCTTCAAGAAAGTGGTTTGCACTGTAAATAGTTTAAAATTAATTTTTTTTTGACAACGTTATATATGTATAGTTGGCTCAGTAAACATTAAATCTTTAAAATTAATTAAAGAGACTGTAAGCGTGATTTCATTTGACCCTCCATGCAAAGAGGAAAATGCCATGATTTACAATGAGTGCTTCTGACAGATCATCGACAGCAGAGAACTCTGTGTGCTTATCTTTAAAATGGTGTTCAAATTGCCCAAAAAGCTGGCTTACAGTACAGTGTGAACTCGGCTCACCTACAAATATTTCTCGAAAATCTCGAAAATTTAATCTTTAACTAGGATTTTTAAATTTCAAATGGACATATTATTTCTGCAACTCATGGAAGGTAAATGTTTTTATCGTGAACTAAATAAAGAATAGCTTGCAAACAAAGTTATAAACAATTCCAAGCTTTTTTTCTGTAGAGATTCCTTGAGCCGTAAAAAGGTATAAAGCGTCCTTGTTTCATCATTCTGGAAGAGTCTGATCCAATCATGGTTCAGTGCTTGGTGACATTCACCAACCAATAGAAACTGCAAAGGCGGTAAAATCTATCTATCTATCTTTCTCATTATTCAATAAGAGATGAGTCCTGAAATCATCTGAAAACAGAAAACGGAAATGTGTACTTCTACTGAAACAAGAGTGAATCTGACACGCAACTTTACAATGAAGCTTCACTTGACATTTCCTTTCAGACACCCTGTATAATAAATCAATAGGTTGGAAACATATTCCCCGTAATATCAAGTTTTGTTGAGATCTCCTGGAATATGACAGGTTCAATGAGGTGTCAATAAACAATAGAGAATAATCAGTTCATGATTAGAGGTGGATATCAGATACACTCAACCAGGGAGTAATGGAACTAAGGAGAGGTGGATATCAGAAACACTCCACCAGGGAGTAATATAACTAAGGAGAGGTGGATATCAAATATACTCATCCAGGGAGTAATAGAACTAAGGAGAGGTGGATATCAGATACACTCAACCAGGGAGTAATAGAACTAAGGAGAGGTGGATATCAGATACAATCAACCAGGGAGTAATAGAACTAAGGAGGATATCAGATACACTCAACCAGGGAGTAATAGAACTAAGGAGAGGAGGATATCAGATACACTCGACCAGGGAGTAATAGAACTAAAGACATGAGGATATCAGATACACTCAACCAGGGAGTAATAGAACTAAGGAGATGAGAATATCAGATATACTCAACCAGGGAGTTGGATCGCTGTGATTAAATATATTGAAATATTATCTTACGAGCTTGGGAACCCAGCCTTGTCTGGAAACTAAGTTTTCCTTATTAAAGCCAACCTTCTCTACTTAGAACGTTTAACCCAAGTTAAAAGCATTCACGTGGGGTCTACCGAGTTGAGTAGTCAAAATTTGAGGCAAATCTGTCAAGGGTTCATGAGTTATGATCGGACAACCAAACAGATTAACAGAGATTACAACTCTATATATATTGATATGGGAAAATGTACAAATATATATTTCCCATGCTGCTTTAGAACTTACCCATGGAGAAAAATAAACGAGTTTTGGGAAAGTACCGAATCATGGACAAAAGGTTTCAAGGAAAAATCTTGATTGACTAAAGTCAGGATGTTGCATTTCGTTAGAGAATGGAAAAGGTGTTGTAAGGGTTGGATGGATGAGATGGATGAGATTAAGAGGAAGGAGGGAGGGAGAATTACAACTAGTTGAAGAAAATTTACCCTTGCAAGATCTGCAAATCAATAAAGAAAGAATTCTAAATACTAAATTCTATACAGTGAATGATTGTGTTCTTAGCTATTTCTTTTAACTAAAAATACTGCAAAGTATGAAATGACTCCGATATATATTGCTGTAACCGTAAAAATAAGTAATCTTTTAAGACGACATTATCTAATGTATTTTTCGACTGTTTTGAAGGAATAGAAAGCACTAAATGTACTCGGCTTCTCTAAAATATGAGTTTGCTATTAAACCTATTTATCCAGCTCTATAAATATCAATTAAACGTGATTTTTTGTTACCAATTTTTTCAAATTAAAAATGTATATTCCATTCTACATAAATATATGATTGTTAAATTGTTAATCCTAGGATTTCTTTTATAATACACTCTATTAGTTTATTTATGCATGATTAAATTGAACCAGTGCAGGTGTACAATATCTGAATCAAAGAAATTGAGTCTTTGCCGCAAACTCAAATTTTCGAACAATTATCTTTGCAACCCAACGTCATAGACCTTTAATATTTCAAATATGAATTACGATAGATCAAATAAACTAAGTTACAAATATGGAAGGCTACCACATCAGTTTGAAAAGAAAATTAGAAATTCTGAGTTTGTGGCAAAACCTCAATTTCTTTTACCCTTCTGATTTTTACTCGGATGAACCATATCAACATGTGGTTTGTTTGTTTCATAAATAAATCGATCTAAGATAAATTTTCTATAAAATCTAAGCATTTTTTATTTTTATCAATCAAGAGAAAAATCTATTTCCTCCGAGCACTCATCTCCCTGAGTACTGTGGTATGAAAGGCCCAGACCTCCTCAGCAGTTGGTATAATCTGGTCAGAAGGTAGAATAAATCCTCCCAGATCACGCAGCTCCATACTAACCACAAACTCTATACCTGCTTCTCCATGCGCCCAGTCAATAGAGATACCACTAGCTTTGTACAAGATACACGGAGTACATCCAACCTTAAAAAGTACAAATGACCGAAAAACATTACAATTCAAGCCTGATCAAGGATTTTGTAGATAATCTTATTTCTGGCGTTGGGACATTTCATAAAAAGACATTTCATAGATAACAATATCTTAAACATGACATTTCATAGAAAGACATTTTATAGATAACAATATCATAGATGGGACATTTCATGGAAAGACGTTTCATAGATAGTACATTTCATAGAAAGACATTTCATAGACAGAGATGATTTTCCATTGACAGAGGATATTTTTCATTTACGAAATTTTGTTGTCTTTGATTTTACATTACATATGAAGAATACTTTATTCATTTTTTAAGAACTTAAAATTCAACTTTTTCATCTGTGAATAACAGTATTTCAGTTATAATGCTTTTGTTGAATGAAAATGCCCAAGTGAATTGTTAAAAATTGGAAAAACTGCAGCTTCTCAGTTGTTTCTCTGACACTGTAGAAGGAAGACATGGCCTACATTTCATAGATAAGACTTTTCATAGACAGAGAAGATTTTTCATTGATGAGAGGAAAATAAAAGAAAAAAATATCATTTGTAAAACAAAATCTCCCAACGCCTTACTCAAGCCTCAAGCACCCTGGCGGTCTTTCTTGAGCTAAAAGAATATGGATATCTCCATTTTTCTTACTTGACCAAAGGTTTAAAGGGTACCGCTGTGAATCAGAGATGTCACTCTCACTTGAAGTTATGTCTACAGCCCCTTTAACATTTTTAGAGCTTGAGGGAGAACGTTTTGGACAATTGTTATAACAATAAAAATGTTTAATCTTTATATTTGAAAATTGTGTAAACTTTTGGTATTTCAAACTTAAATTTTTTGATCTAACAGAATTCATTGTTTGAAATATCTGTGGTCTATGACATTGGATTGCAAAGATATAAGAATCAGAGATTATCGCAAAGTCATAATTTCTGAGATTAATAAGTACTTACATTGTAAAACTCTCCGTTAACATCCATCAAAGCTTCTTGTCCCATTGTAGCAAGCTGTAACATCTGTTCATAATCTTCTGGTACCTCATGGCTGGTGTACCCCCAAGGTAGCAGTATCAGCTGACCAAAGCTATGCACAGTGTTAAAAAAGACGATTTCATTTTTCCTTGCAAATACAAAATCCCTGACGTTAATATTTTCAGGTTCTGAGTAAGCTTCAGGTCCATGAAATGCTTCACTGCATTGGTCATATGAGCTTCCTCCTTCGTCGAAATGAAATCCCCAGTTCCTATTCAGATCCACTCCCTAGAATATGAAAATAATGTTATCAACATCATAATGTTTGTGTTTGAATGAATGAAATATTACCAAACATCCAACTTCTGATCCATGATCAGATCTGGACTTTCTCCACATCCTATCCTCGTCCCATGAGAACTCATATCCATCAGGGTTGTGAGCAGGCAGGAAGTACCAATCATATTCCTCAGTTAGATCAGGATGTGATTCATCGTTCTCCACCAGCTCATTGAGCATCCAGGTAACAGCTGCAGGTGCAATCCATTCCCTAGCATGAATACCAGCATCTATCCATACTCCAGGCTTGCTACCACATACACCCTTGCAGATCTTTGCCACTCTCATCTCCCTTCCCTCAGTGGTTTTCCCAATAGATTCAGTGCTGACAAAATCATAAGCTGCTTCAAGATAGTCCAAGAAATCGTAGATGTCTGCTAGATTATGATAGTCAGTCCAGGTCATCGAATGGTTTGCATGTTTTTCTTCTCCACCTGGAGCTGTCCTTCTCTCAAGCTCTATCCGGGCTTGCACATCAGAAACTATTACATAATAAGATATTCCGTGCTTTTTAAAATCAGTTTCCATTTGATCTTGATTTTGAGGATCAACCATAACATCAACATGTCTACCAGGTATGATGTCTGACCAGAAGTTTACAAAAGGGCTTTTTTCCAAATTCTTCATGAAGGAAACGTCATCTTCGGAGACAATCTGTGCCCTGTAGACCTTGAAACCAACAAAAGTTTTGGGGGATTTACCCTCTACACCTAGACATAGCGCTAAAAACAAACCTGCCAACAGTATCTGAACTCTCATTGTTTACTACTGGAAGATAACAACAAATATCATGACTTGTCCAGTGTCCATCTCAACATTTCTTTTTATCTTTTCATGAACTTTGTTCTCCAGGGATAGATATATACTTACTTATGTATATACTTTACAGTGCTTTTTAAAACTATATGGTAGAATAATTTTATTTAAATTCTGTTTCGTAATTTTTATAGATTCCCCTTTAATAAAAAAGAAGTTGTTTATTTTCCTAGTTTTATAAATAAATTTAATAGAAATAACAAGAGACACCTATATGTAAAATTGAATTCATACTTTTAATCATTTGGGACTATTTAAAAAAATTATTTATAAAGCATAAATTTGATAGTGTAAGATCGCATTACTTTACTGCAATTTTTTCCTTCTACAGGCCAAAGAACATCTAAAATTTTTTTTTATGTGCTTGTAAACATAATTTCTAGTGACCTTCCATTGATAGAGTGGATATGTGGCTTGTCTGATTCACAAGGTTACCCTTTACAGCTTTGTCTGATCAAATATGAATTAGCTATCAATGTTTCGTGATTTTCATTTGTTGGATCTCTACAAAAGTGGCTTCCGCATTTCTTACTTGAGAAATAATTGAGAAAATTAAGGGTACTGTTGTGAATCGGATATGCTCCTCTTGAAATGGAGGGTCACCTAAAATTACCCTTATAGTCGCCAGAGCCTCAATCTTTACCAATTTTAGTTTTATGGACATTTGAAACATTTTCATTAACAAGTACAAAGTTGATGCCAGAGAGCTTCAGTTTCAGACTAAATTTTATATTTTTCGGCATTAAAAATGTATACTCAAAATTTCCGAACACATAAAATTTGAATAAACATATATTTTGTATAGTTTGTTTTTACCAAATAGATTATCAAGTACATTAGGTGGCATAAATGATAAATGGCGTCGTAAGTGTCAAATATAACAAGAAAAACGTAAGTGTAACGTTAGTTACGTTAGTTGACATGTTTTCTTAGATTTAATAAAAAAGTGTAAAAACAGAAAGTAACGAACACATAAAAATAATTACTATAATTTTGTCGGACACAAAAACTGAATTGACACTTGTGACGTCAGAATACAGCTGCACTGCAAGAGTGTACAAACGCTATAACGTTGTCATCTATTGTATTAGAACATATTTGGCTTTCACCAATAACATCAAAGGATTTAAAAAAGTTCATATTTGAAATGTAAAATTAATTATTAAATAATACAAAAATTATTAATTGATATTTTCTGTTTTTTTTTTTGCAAGAATAATCTTGTGGAAGAGAAAAGTAATATGAAAAGTTTGAGTCGGATACATGCTTTGCATCAATTTTATTAATTCCAATAGTTTTTCCTTTAGAAAACTAAATTCTTTTCAATTTTTTTTCAATTTTCTTATTTAAAAAGAATTACTCGAGGACATTTCAATGGCAATCTTAAAATTTATTCGGTTGAAAATAAAATTTATAAAATCTACATGAAACAGATTCAAAGTAATGTATTTTTTTCCTTCTTCTCAACATTTTAGTGAACTGATGTTTATTAGTTATTGTACTATAAAACCTGTGCATATTTACGCATTACACATATGCGTTATACAGAAAAAAGAACTACTAAAGGGCTCTTTCAATTGATTGACCATTTTACTAGATTCAATTCTTTTTGTCCATTTGAAGAGGTTTAATTCACAACAGTTTCCATTAAACCTTTGACTCATCAAGGATGTCAGCCTTAAGAAATATTACTTTCTGAAAGTCACAAAAACCAGATATTTACATAAGAATTATTTAAAACCGCGTAGAATATTGAATTTTCTGTTTTTTCATGGATTAAATATCATTCTAAACAATTTTACGGCAATTCGAACGTGGAGTTCTCTTGCCGCGCTGAACAGTCGAAAGTTTAGATAGGGTACTGTTGTGAATCGGGCATTGAGATCTCTGTATGGAGAGTCAACGCCTTCATTTCCCTTAGTTGTCACAATATGTATTTTTAAAAAGGTGAAAATCCCTTAAATTGAATAAATTTAAATTCATAATATTTCTTTAGTCTTATACACGCATAATGCATATTTTTTGGTACTTAAAACAATTTTCAAATTCTTTACAATATTAAACTTCAAAAAATTGTATTTGTTTAAAGATTAAAAGTTTATCCACAACACTAAAGTGAAATGTCATAACCAGCCGTTCTGCTGAACCATCAACTTTGAAATTGCAAAACAAATATTTAAAATCCGTTAAATCACACAATTTACACAATTTTGTATATGTTTTATTCATCTTTCTATAAAATATTTGTTTGAATAGTTTATGGTTGCATAGCCATGATTTCTCTGATGACTGTAAGGTGGAAGGCCCAAACCTCTTCTGCTGTTGGAATGATCTGCTCTGGAGGAAGCAGGAATCCATAGTTACCTAAATACGCTCAGATAAAGGGACTGTAAGCGTAATTTCAAGTGACTCTCCATGCAAAGATGGAATGCTATATTCCAAGGGGACTCTTCAAACCTTTATCTGATCAATAATGTGGAAGATATTGTCGTTTCTCAAGGTGTTTAAAAATGTATATTTCTGATAGTTTTCCCTCAATAGAATTGCGCAAGTCAGTTTGTGGATAAACCCCAATTTTATTAAAATTTTAAACATTCCTATCTAATTCACACTTTATGAGACAAAGCCTTAAAGGGTACCATTGTGAATCGGGCATTGATATCGTTGCAAGGAGGTTTTCACTTGAAATTATGTTTACCACTTTTTTCATCAAAAAATTTCTGAAATTAAACCAATTGATTACTTGAAACTTCTGAATGATATTTAGGAAATTAAAATTAAATTTTTAAAACTTTTTTCTATCATGTGTCTACAGTCGGGTTTCCAGCAGGATGTAAAAATTGTTGAGTGCAATTTTCACATTTTAGTTTGTTCTTGCATATTATATAATGATCAAGAATGAACAAGATTGANGAATTATGATCAGATCTTGTCTTTCTCCACATTCTGTTGTGGTCTCTTGACCATGCATATCCATCAGGATTGGCAGAGGGTAGGAAGTACCTAAAAAAAATATGAATAAATATAGGAAAGGAACATTTATGCTTTGTCAAATCATTAAAACTGATATTTTTGCCGATATGGGAAAAAATGATGATGTTTATTCTTACCAATCAAGGGTCTCGGTAAGATCAGAATGCTCCGCATCATTTTCAACCAGTTCTCTTAACATCCAGGTTACAGTGGCAGGAGAAATCCATTCTCTGGCATGAATACCTCCGTCAATCCAGACTGCCTTCTTCCCCCCACATCCTCCTTTACAGATCTTCGCTACTCTCATATCTCTTCCTTCAGAAGTAGATCCAATAGACTCGGTAGAAACAAAGTCATATGTAGCCTCCAGATAGTCAAGGTAACTGTACATATCATCAAGGGTATGGTATTCATCCCATGTCATAGCATGATCAGCAGATGCTTTCTCCCTGGACACAGCCTTGACCTTTTCGTTCTCTATCAACACTTGGACATCAGGAATGATGACCTCGAAGGACAATCCACGAGCTGCGAGGTCAGCCTCCATCTGTTTATGAAACTGGGGAGGTACCATAATATCAACATTTCTATTCAGAGAAATCTCAGTCCAGAAATCATAAATAGGACGGTTCTCCAGCATTCGCATGTAGGTCACATCCTCAGCATTCTTGGGCTGGATTCTGTAAACCTGGAACCCGGTGAAAGAATCCACATCGATTGTAGAATCATGTAGCGCTGCGGCTACAGATAAAAACCCCAGCAGTGCTAAGACCTTCATTTTTCCACTGTCCAGAACCTTGGCTATCTCAACATAATATACTCTTGTTATCTTCTTTAGAAACAATTGATAAACAGGGTGTACTAGAAGTTGATAAGAATATTTTTTTTCAAATTAAATTTTTAGTGGCAGAATTAAATTTGTTATTTATACCTGAAAACAATGATTATAATATTTTTTAAAGTATATTTTACAGTTTACTGGGCCGGACACCCTGTAGATAGATTACCAGGGAGGGTTTACTTACGTTGATTTTAAGTCTGTATTTAAGATAAGAGCTGTCACACGTCAATTGCCGAAAACTCCAAACACAAGTAAATTCACCTGGTTAATTTCACGCAGAAAATTATAATATTTTAAAGAAGTTATTTTTTAAATTACACTTTTGTAAATTAAGAATTATCGTAATCTTCAACTTTTCTTCTCCCCTTTCCCCATTGCGCGGCCTTTGCATTGATTTGCACCGAAGGATATGAGTTTTTGCTACAATTTTTAATCCCTATATATATTCAACCTGATGGTGTAATCCTTTGCTACATCAAACTTAGCGTATTTAAATATAATTTATAGTTTGAAATATCAAAGGTCAACGACATTATGTTGCAAAGATATAGAGGGTTAGGTATTTTGTAACAAAATTACAAAAATGCTCTCATTAGAATTTTTTACAGAGAGCTAAGAATTAATTCTGACCAGTATCTCTGAGTTCCATACTGGTGGTGTAAGGAATCAAAGCATCTCCATGTGCCCAGTCTGCAGAGCTTCCACTGGCAATGTACAGCATGCAAGGAATGCATCCAACCTTAAAAAATGAAAATATGAAATGTTCAATTAATATTTAATAAGATAAAAATTCTTATCTCAAAAGTCAATATTTAACCACATCATATAAATTTTCAATGAAACCCTGCTTTGAAGAAAAAATATAAGAAAAAAGAAAAATGATCTTTTGAAACGAAAATTTACTATTTGGCAAAAATTGACATCAGGGCAATTTTTACAGAACCATGAGACATGTAAAAAAAACAATAATTTCCATTTTTTAACCTGAACATTAACGAAATCCATTCGAATGAGTAGAATTCACTGGAATCACATACCTCATAAGTTTTGCCATGAACTTCTGTGAGAGCATCAGACCCCTTCATGAAAAGATTGTACATCTCATCATAATCATTTGGAACATCATCAGTATACCCCCAGGGGAGTAGGATCAGCTGACTGTAGCTATGGATAGAGTTGTAGAAGACCCAATCTCCTCGTCTTGTGTTCAGCATGTCACGGACATTCACGTTCTCAGGTTCAGAGAATGCTTCAGGTCCGTGGTAGGTGTCACTGCATTTGTCAGAGGAGCTCCCACCTTCGTTCCAGTGGAATCCCCAGTTTCTGTTAGCATCAACTCCCTATATAATACACTAGCTTGAGAACCCAGCTTTGCCCAGGGAACTCATAGTTACTCCCGCAGTTTATCCCCGCTTGGTAGTAAATTACGATTTTAGCTATACTCTCCAACTTAGAATCTCAAAACTAAGCTAATAACATTCCCGTGGTTTTCTTGAGTTCCCCATCGGAGTTTGAGACAAATCGGTCAAGTGGTTTATGAGATATGACATCCAAACAAACAGAAATTACAACTTTATATTTATAGATATGGATAGGGTTATTAACAAGAGAAACAAAGCTTTTTATTCTAATGTTTAAAGATAAAAGTTCTTACCATACATCCAAGGATAGAATTATGATCAGATCTTGTCTTTCTCCACATTCTGTTGTGGTCTCTTGACCATGCATATCCATCAGGATTGGCAGAGGGTAGGAAGTACCTAAAAAAAATATGAATAAATATAGGAAAGGAACATTTATGCTTTGTCAAATCATTAAAACTGATATTTTTGCCGATATGGGAAAAAATGATGATGTTTATTCTTACCAATCAAGGGTCTCGGTTAGATCAGAATGCTCGGCATCATTTTCAACCAGTTCTCTTAACATCCAGGTTACAGTGGCAGGAGAAATCCATTCTCTGGCATGAATACCTCCGTCAATCCAGACTGCCTTCTTCCCCCCACATCCTCCTTTACAGATCTTCGCTACTCTCATATCTCTTCCTTCAGTGGTAGATCCAATAGACTCGGTAGAAACAAAGTCATATGTAGCCTCCAGATAGTCAAGGTAACTGTACATATCATCAAGGGTATGGTATTCATCCCATGTCATAGCATGATCAGCAGATGCTTTCTCCCTGGACACAGCCTTGACCTTTTCATTCTCTATCAACTCTTGGACATCAGGAATGATGACCTCGAAGGACAATCCACGAGCTGCGAGGTCAGCCTCCATCAAATTGTAGATTGCAGTGATATGTTTTTAAATTGTAGATTGCAGTGATATGTTTTTAAATTGTAGATTGCAGTGATATGTTTTTAAATTGTATATTGCAGTGATATGTTACATGATCTTCTTCTCAGAATGTTTTCCAATTTCTAGAAAAAAATTTAAAATTGATATTATATAACCATTATTGAAACACTAAATCATTTGAATAATATTGAATATAATTTCTGGCATAATCCTACTGTATATTGTAATGTGTATTGTATATTTACATATATTGTATTATACATGTTCCTTGAATAATATTTGAATCAAAATTAGTTCTAGATTTAACTCTGGGGTTCTACGTGGTGGACCAGTAAATCTGTAAAAAATGCAGTGTGAACATACCTATATAAAATACGCTGTACATGGTCTGTAAACCTAACTGCGCTAATCTTTAAGTACACAAAAATTGTAGCTACTTATTGTGATTAGCTTTACTGCGATGATATATATCTGTGCATAGTGTAGATACATATAAAAACTTAATATGTAAGATATATTTGTTGATTGAGAGGCTTGTGTCCCTGTGTGACATTCAGAGCCGATGAGATTGCGCCCATTGGTTTGGCATTGATAGTTAAAGAGCATGTTTGATAGATACACTTGTGTCCGTATTGACATTCAGAGCCAATGAGATTGTGCCCGTTGGTTTAGCATTGATGCATAGATCGCTTAAGAGCTTGTTTGATAGCTATGCTTGTGTCCCTGTGTGACATTCAGAGCCGATAAGATTGTGTTTATTGGTTTGACATTGATAGCTGAAGAGTTTGTGTCCTGGTTGACATGTAAAGCTGACGAATTGCACCTGGATTGATACAGTACAGCATTTACTAAAAACCTATTGGTTCTACGTTGTGGACCAGTAAATCTACGGGTTCTAAGTGATTGACCAGTAAATCTATGGGTTTTACAGGCAACCCAGTAAATTTACTGGTTTTACTTGATGAACTAGCAATATAAGGGTTCTATGTGGTGGAACAGTAAATCTATAGTTTCTACGGGGTGAACCATTAAGGGTTTTAATAAGCGGACCAGTAAGTCTAGGATTCTACGTGGTGAACCAAAAAAATTACGAGTTCTATGTGGTGGACCAGTAAATTTACGGATTCTATGTGTTGGACCAATAAATCTACGTGTTCTACGTTGTGGACTGCAAGTCGGGTTTACAGGGAATTTACAATATAATATGTCCTTTGGTCCGAAAGGACTTAAACCCTTGCAGTGAACCAGACTTGAGTGCAGTGATATGTTTTTAAATTGTAGATTGCAGTGATATGTTTTTAAATTGTATATTGCAGTGATATGAGACTGAACAATGCAATTATAATTTTGAATTCCAATTAGGGTTTGTAATTAAGTAAGTTTTAGTGTATGTACAATGTAATATTACTTTAATACAGTATTATATAAGGACAGAGTTAGGACAATATTTGGTATAAAGTATTACTAGGACAGAATTAGGACAATATTTGCCCGAAGTATAAAGTATTAATAGGACAGAATTAGGACAATATTTGACAGAAATGGATTTCACATAAAGGGTATGCCGATTGGATTTTTTTTATTATTCAGAGAATAGCTGTGATTTCTAGTGTTTGATAAAAACGATAATAATAAGTTGATTTAGCAGAAAGACAAACAATTAAACAAAGTCCCATTTTGCATAGCTATTCATTTCAAAAGTTGTAAACTAAAAACAGATTATTAAATAGGCACTGTTTTGAACACTTTTTAAATGTAAGGCCGTCTAAAATTAGGCTGTCAACCCCTTTAATTTTGATATATTTGCTAACAGATGAAAATTGGAAAGATATTATCTTATATCGAGTTCTCACCCCAACAAAACTTTATAATACAATATGTCAAACTTTTAAACTTTGTAAAAGCCATTTTCTATATAATTTATAGATATTTTATTTTTTTAAATTAACTTTTTAATTATGTAAAAACATTTTAACCCTAAATATTATCTTTAGTTATGCATTAATAATCTAATAAATCGGTATTATTGTATATCTATATACAAGCTAACTTGGTAACCCTGCTTTGTCTGACACTAAGTTTTCTTTAAAAATGTCAACCTACCTAACTTAAAAATGTCAACCTACCTAACTTAAAAATGTCAACCTACTTAACTTAAAATGCTTGTGGTTTAACTAGTTCACAAACTAAATGTTTGGGCAAAGCTGTCAAGGGGTTCTTGAGTTATGATTGATTTAGAATCAAAGAGTTAATCCTAGTTAATCTTTGTAACGAGTAGACCTGGATAGATACGTCTCGAGTAAATTGTTATGGAGTAGGTATTTGCTACATGATCAGACTTACAAATTCTAGCGAAGAAGAACAATTGTTTCGCGAAAGTTTCAAATTTTTCGACAACTTCGCATTTTTCGCATTGCGTTCGCTCGCGAAAAATGTGAAAATTTTCGCGAAAAAAGCGGAAATTTTGCGAATAAAACACTAACATTTCACTATAAATACCGTCAATTTTGAAGATTCTTTCTTGTAATTGGCTGGCTCATCGCATAGCTGGATTTGGGTGAACGTACGTGGACATACAGAAACTCTGAAACAAAGCTAGAGAAACTAAATTCTCTTCATACACATTTATTAAAGTACAGGAAGAGAAATTATTAACATGGTATAATAAAAATTCAAATGTTGAGCTCTCAGAGAAAAGAATACCACAAGTTTTTTAGCGCAATTAATTGTTGCAGCTTATGGTTTTCGCGAAATTTTGCATCGTTTTCGCATTTCTACGCTTCATTAATTTTCGCGAAAAAGTTTGCGAAATGCGAACGAAAATTTTCGCATTTTTTCTCATATTTCGCGAAACGTTTCGTTCTCTGGAAACCCTACCTGAGATTGTAATTTTCAAACCTGGATTATTTGCTAGAACAGAAATCATTGTTTGAAATACTAAAGGTCTACGACACCAGGTTGCAAAGATAAAGGGATTAAACAATCAGAGTTTTCGGCAAAAACTCAATTTCTTAAATTAGTTATACATACAAAATATTTAAGCGTATTTTAGTTAATTCTTCGATTTATTGACAAGTATATTTCAGTTATCTGGAAAAAATTTAAAGGTTCAAAATCGATCAAATTTAGCAAACATGAATAAAATAAGGACATTCGACTTTAGTTTTACTGATTTAAACTCTAAAGATTTTGTTGCTTTTTTCGATTTATGCAAATATAATTTAATCTAATTTGATCTAATTTAATTTAATTTAATCTAATTTAATGTAATTTATTCTAATTTAATCTAATTTAATCTAATTTATTCTAATTTAATCTAATTTAATATAATTTAATAATCTATTTCAATAAATGTGAATTTTAGTTTCAACAGCTTAAAAAAAACCCAATGCCTGAGTCCAAATTTAATGAATTTGAGCAGCATCTTAAATCCCCCAAGAACCGGTTTCAATTGAGTGCCGGCTTAAATCTTGAAACATTGAATACGATTTTAAGTGAAACCAACCATATTTCTTTAAATTCGGCCTCTGGATACATTTTCTATTCGGTACGGTTTATTTGTTTAGTAACATTTTTTTTTAAAAGTGTCTACGATATAGGATATTGGTGTAAATATATAGGGATTTGAAAATTAGTTGTAGTGCGTTGAGTAATCAGTTCTTTTTTATTTAAATTATAGATTGCTGTGATATGTTTTTAAACTGGACATTGCTGTGATATGTTTTTAAACCGGAAATTGCTGTGATATGTTTTTAAATTGTATTTGCTGTGATATGTTTAAATTGTAAATTTCCATGATATGTTTTTAAATTGTAGTTTGCCGTGATATGTTTTTAGATTGTAGATTGCAGTGATATGTTTTTAAATTGCAGATTGCAGTGATATGTTTTTAGATTGTAAATTGCAGTGATATGTTTTTAGATTGTAGATTGCAGTGATATGTTTTTAAATTGCAGATTGCAGTGATATGTTTTTAAATTGTAGATTGCAGTGATATGTTTTTAAATTGTAGATTGCAGTGATATGTTTTTAAATTGTAGATTGCAGTGATATGTTTTTAAATTGTAGATTGCAGTGATATGTTTTTAAATTGTAGATTGCAGTGATATGTTTTTAAATTGTAGATTGCAGTGATATGTTTTTAAATTGTAGATTGCAGTGATATGTTTTTAAATTGTAGATTGCAGTGATATGTTTTTAAATTGTAGATTGCAGTGATATGTTTTTAAATTGTAGATTGCAGTGATATGTTTTTAAATTGTAGATTGCAGTGATATGTTTTTAAATTGTAGATTGCAGTGATATGTTTTTAAATTGTAGATTGCAGTGATATGTTTTTAAATTGTAGATTGCAGTGATATGTTTTTAAATTGTAGATTGCAGTGATATGTTTTTAAATTGTAGATTGCAGTGATATGTTTTTAAATTGTAGATTGCAGTGATATGTTTTTAAATTGTAGNAACCAGACTTAAACCCCTGCAGTGAACCAGACTAAACCCCTGCAGTGAACCAGACTTGAACCCCTGCAGTGAACCAAACTTGAACCATTGCAGTGAACCAGACTAAACCCCTGCAGTGAACCAGACTAAACCCCTGCAGTGAACCAGACTAAACCCTTGCAGTAAACTAGACTTGAACCCCTGCAGTGAACCCGACTAAACCTCTGCAGTGAACCAGACTAAACCCCTTCAGTGAACCAGACTTGAACCCCTGGAGTGAACCAAACTTGAACCCCTGCAGTGAACCAGACTAAACTCCTGCAGTGAACCAGACTAAACCCCTGCAGTGGACCAGACTTGAACCCCTGCAGTGAACCAGACTAAACCCCTTAAGTCAGAGAACTATTTGAACAATCAAATTCAATAAAAAAGAAACTTTCAGCAAGACAAAAATAAAGATTCAATTTGAATTTTACAAAGTTGCTTATCATGGTGATTTTAGAAAGTCAACATTAATCATTTTACATTAACATCTCGACAT